CAAATCTGTTACAACAGATTTACAAGAGCGGTTACAAGCGCTTGAACGTACCTCAGGCGTCATGGCGTCTTTAGTTGTTTCTTTACTTCCTAAACCCAATGTTGACTCTTTAATTCCCAAACCCAGCGTTGCCCGACATTCTAACTTCAATTTTAAAGGGTGATCGCAGTTGTCTGTAAGGGTTATAAGTTTCTTGGAGCGAGGACCATACCATTTAATGATTAGATCAGAATCATCATCCTTAAAAAGTTTGACGTCGCCGCCTGGTGAAGTCCATGTCCCTTTAGCGTTTAGCGTTTTCTCGACAAAGGTCTTTAACTTGCTCAAAGAGCCAGTCCATCGGTAAATTTCGCCATCGTACGTTAATTCGTTCACTATATTCATGTTTGTCTTTGTAGTAATAAAAGATATATCTCGCCAAGTTTACACACTTTAAAATATTTATACGGAGCACTTAAACATACGTCCGCTCACCTGGCCTAATTGCAATATTGTGATTTGTGAGAACAGTTCGCGCACACTGTACGGACAAACCGTGGATGACCCCAAATATTAAAGCGTTGATAAAAGCAAGACAGAGAGCATTTACGAAAGGGGAGACACCGAAGTATAAAAGTTTACATGCAAAAGTTACCAAGCTGATATCCAACGCTAAAGCTACGTACTACAAATCCAAGGCTGAAGGCAACCATCAATCCAATCCCGCCAAATGGTATAAAACGATTTACAAGCTAGCGGCAGCAACCGAAAATCAACAATCTCTGTCCTCGCCTGACCACGCTGACCAAATGGAAATCGCTGACAGACTACAAAGAAGTTTTACTAAGCCTTGGCTAGGAATTCAACCAGATCTTTCCAGACTTCAAGCGGTAGAGCATTTGCTCAAGGACAGCCACCCACCTCTACCATCCATTGGCCAAGTCAAAACCGTCCTAAAACACCTAAATGCTAGGAAAGCCACTGGGTCGGATAATATCCCTGCATGGTGTCTTAAACGGTACGCAGAAGAATTAGCACCAGTGGTCCACGATATTGTGGTTGCAAGCATAGTTCAATGCAAATATCCCACCTCCTACAAGCATGCAATCATTAGTCCCATACCAAAGATCCGTCCACCCACAGACCTAGATAATGACTTCCGCCAAGTTTCCGTGCTACCACAACTAGCAAAAGTTATGGAGAAGCTACAGCTGCAACTCAATAAATCCAGTTTCAAGATCAAAACAAACCAGCACACCTTAACGAGCGGTCACTCCACCGTGTCTGCCCTTACCTCCATATCTCGGAACTGGTTCGACTCAACGGACAACTCCTAAACCGGTAGACAAGGTGTCCACGCCCTATTTGTTGAATTCCGGAAGGCGTTTGACTTGGTCGACCATAAGATCCTTCTGGACAAGCTTGCTGATATGAATGTAACAAGGAGTTTCTGGTTATGGATAATGAGTTTTCTGGAGGTAAATCTCCAAGGTGTACTATCCTTTACTGCATCATGCCCAGCCGGCGTCCCTCAGGGATCTGCTATCTCGCCGACCCTATTCAACATACACATTAACGATATGGAGGAAAATGTTTCTGAACAGGCATGTGTCAACACAATCAAATATGCGGACGATTGCACCATGGATACGTCCATAAGATTAGGAGAATCTAACGATTTGCAAAGCGCTCTGGACTCAGTACAAAGTTGGGCTATGGAAAATAAAATGGAACTGAATGCCAAAAAGACAAAGATATGTGGATTAACTTCACCGAAGCACCGCCCCCTCTACCACTGCATATAGGAGATGCTATCATAGAAAGAGTCGATAATTTTAAACTCTTGGGAACCTGGTTTCAAAAGGACCTGAAATGGAATAAACATGTCGAGGAGACCACCCGCAAAGCAGCTAGAAACCTGTACTGCCTACGAGAATGTAGAAGAGCGAATCTACCAGTCGAAGTGGGTCTCACCACTTATTTAACTAAAATCAGGCCTATCCTTGAATATTGTTCTCCAGTGTGGGGTGGTCTGCCACGATATCTAAAGGACGAATTGGAACGTGTGCAAAGGAGGAGTCTACGAATTATTGGCCTCCCGCATGATTACCTGCCAACTCTCGAAGAGAGAAGAATTGAAGCCACATCGAGGGAACTCGTTAACATCTTAGGTGATCCAAGTCATATCTTTTATCAACGAACTATGGAACATAATAAACATAACTATAATCTTAGGCGTAGAGACGGTATATTTAAATATGCACCTTTCTCAGGCACTGAACGACACAGAAATAGTTTTGTCCCACGAGCAATGAGACAGGGGTTGCACTAAAACCAAACTTGGTTTTTATTAACTTTTTAAATAATTTCCTAGACTTTTAAATTTTTACTCCAAATTGTATATATATAAATTTTAGATAGTTTGTAAATATTATTGCATGCTTAGTTATGCTCTTCTCTTTTAATAGACATATTTGTAAATCCATTGTACTTTTAAACTAAAGATGGATCAATAAAATCATCATCATCATCATCAGATCTGTGAAATGGGTATGTTTTCACCCGTTCGAATTTTTAGCAATGGAATTTTTTAATCAGCATTCAATACGTATGTATGATAGGAGGAACTAGGTGAAACTTTTGGAAATTTTGGTGCTTCTGTATATAACTGCCCTAACACTGCCATTGAATTAAAATATTATTAGGCGGGGCTATTACATGACATTCACTTGCTGTCATTTTTATACTTTAAATTGTGCGACTTATAATCTTGTTTTATTTACTAAAAGACTAACACGTAGCCAAGGTCCATTCATGTGAGTGCTTACACATTACTATTTCACTGTATAGAAATGTAGAACGAAATTATAACCTTCCCTTATACGCCCTTCATATATACATATAATAGAATATACAATATTTACGCTGCCCAACTTACGTTGCCCAAGTTGACATTACACATATATACAATTTTCAAACAGCTTATTAC